GAAATAAACAGTAGAAAATTGAATTTAAATGAACCTTCGACGAATGGACCAGAGAAAAAATCGTGTAAATTGATGGATACGTGTAAATCGGCAGAGAATGATCGCGGATAGGCAAGATGACTATTTCGGCGACCTCGATGGGACAGAAACGCAGAACTTTCGCGGCAGGTTTCTTATCGCTATCGCGAATGGCGCGACGAGCATCGTTCACCGTTCGTCCCCTGTTGTTCTGGCTGCGAGCTGACGCAAGTTCGAGCATACATTATCTAACGAAACTTTAATGCTCGGTCATCCATCCAATGACGGTGACCTTGCACCTTATCGACGGGCAACTATCGACGGCAATTTTCACGATCCGCGTTGTGCATTAGTCCAGATTCCTTTCGAACGACTTCGATAACGGACTTTGCCGGCTCTAGCGAAAAACAACGAAGCATAGAAACAAAACGCAGAACAGCGAAATATGTTTTTTGTATGCGTTTTGAATTCTTGGAACAAATCGAGTTGTCAGAAACTTTCCAGAGTTATTTACAGCGAAACTAGAACAATTCGGTACTAGAATAATTCGAATGGAAGAAGCATCATTTCGTCAAGTTATTATTTTTGGTTTCCAACAGAGAATGGTTTTATACGCAAGTACAGTAGAATCTCGATTATCCGGAATTAATTAGCCAAATTCGTTCCACGCGTAGATTTAAATCGATCGATTGATTTGAAACGAGCCATGACGACTAAATGAACTGTAAAAATCTGTAAAAATGTCGGTTAGTCCTGCAACTTAATAATTGCTCCATTATCTGAACATTTAACTATCCCTATACTGCATTACTATTTTTTACAAATTCAATAAGAACTGAGAACCGTGATGAAATCGATAGGATGATGCACGTTGATGCACATAGGTCGAAACGGAAAAGAAAGATTTCGGGGTTCTTCAAAATTATGTTACCTTTCGGAAATGAGGGAGAACACACTTCCTGAAAGTAGAATTCCTGGGAACACTTGAAAGAATTTCCTTTTTAGCGAAAATGCAATCCGCCGATTAGTTAACGAGTTATTCACGAAAAACGCTGGCTAATTGAGAGGCGAGTTCGGATGAAACAAGACAGAAATACAAGCGGAACGCCTTGCTATAGCCAAGCAGGCTCCTCATTGGTCAGTGTTTTTTGCGAATAACTCGTAAACCATTCCGCGAATTACATTTTCGCTAAGAAGGGAAGTTAGGCTAGGGGAAACCGAGGCTAGAGATTCCGATTTCGAGAAAACATGAAAATTGACTAAGAAATATTATTTATTTCGTTTAATTTATTGTTAAATTTATTCTACTTTAAAATTGTTAATTCATATTTGATATGTTGCAATAAGTTTTTCATAGAAACACGTTTTTTTCGTGGTCAACTCAAGCGGAACTTCTTACCCCGTTGTGGGACAAGTTGGGATAAGATGTTACTAAAAAATAAATCTTACTTTCTAATGGAATATTTCATTCTTTAATGAAATAAAACAATTTCATTAATAAATTTTGTTTATCAACTTCAGATTAACAGAGATACATATATATTTTTGAAAGAAAAAATATACTATCTTTGGCGCAAACGTTAATGTAGTAAAATTAAAATAATAATCTAATATTATGATAATTTTTCGAAACATTTTTACTTAAACCTAAGACACGTGTGGCAATGTATACAAATATTTTGTTTATATATTCCAATATTCTAATAAATGCTATTACAACATGTTCTTAATTGTTATTTGATTTATGAGAACAGAACAAAAATAGTGACTGCGAAATATTTATTTACCTGGTATGTGCGACTATTATCTTGTCTAAAACTACACAATTCGCTATCGCGGACGCTACCAAAATGGTTAACGGCGTGGCGCGATCGGTTCACGCTTTCGAAACAATTGAAAGTATAACGCGATTCTTTTTTATCTAAAATATATTAGCATCGAAACAATTTACCCCCGGAACTTCTAGCCCCAATCTCCCCTGCCCCTCACTTAACACAGTTTTGAAGAAGCCTGTATCTTTCTATTCTGTCTCGAACACCGTTCTATCGATTTCATCACGGATCTCAGTTCTTATCGAATTTGTAAAAATTATAATACTCGATTATCATTATTATAGATATTATATTATTACAGAAACTCGCGATTATCCGACATTTTGACAGATTTCTACAGTTCATTCACTTGTCATCGATCGTTTTAGATAATTTCGCTAAGGAAAAAATTATTTCAAGTAACATGCTTTTAGGACATTCTGCTGAACCGATGCAGAGCCAATATGATATTACAACATAAGATGTTACATTATAATTTTGTCTCATAACGGTTTCAAAAACCGAAACTGATATTAGAACTGTTTCCAACCCCTGATACCTACTCGAAAGTAACCGCGATTACTATGAATTAAAAAATTGGTTGCCTCACTTTTATGGGATAATACATGCCAGTCAATATTTCTATTTGGTAGGTTTGTTGTTAATACGTTCGCTGCCAGCATCATTAGCATTTACACTTATTATATTTATCCTATTAAACACATCGTATCCTGTTATAAAATATGACAAAAATATCGTCAAAGAGTACAGTGAGATGTGATCTGAGTTCGCGCTCAGATTGCATATAAAAATGAACAATTTGGGAAGATTTACAATTATTCAACAGCTAGTATAGTCAACAACTATAAAAATGAGCCGCGAGGCTCGAATAATCGTATCTCCTCTTCCCAAATTGTCCATTTTTGTGCGCAATCTGAGCGCAAATTACCACTTCAATGGCCGCGCGTCTCCGCAGTCAAACGTCGCCAGGGACCGGCAATATTTATGTAAATTCATGAAATAATTCAACATGTGCGAACACATGAAACAAAAAAAAGCAACAACAACAACACATTTAATACAACAAATTTAATATTTTCCTTTGTGTGATAATTATTAAAGCATTACATACACACATTGCGTGCGCGGCTATTAAAGTGTTACGGAGAAATTATTGTATCTACAAATTCTCTAAACGCTACATGCGTTCTCTCCATGCTATAGGTTTCAATTCTCAATAATTACATTCCGGAAATGAATTCGACGTTCTTGACCGTGAAACACAAAATCGTGGTCGTGACACACGTTTGACGCTGTTGACGAACGTGTTAACACTAAACCTACCAAGCAGTAACAGTAACCGGCGTACACCGCTTCATAAAAGCGACAAGATCGGATTCATTTAATTTTCGTAAAGTTTGAAAGAGTCTTCGAAAGTTTGCAGAATCGCAAAATACGGAAACGGTCGTTTCGACCGCGGCGGATTTATAGAATCGTTTCGTTTCAAATTCATCGCCACAGTATCACGATTATCGTTGAAATAAACGAAAGTTACGGCGTTCCGGACGAGCTCGGTAATCGAGAGCCTAACCCTACGCCGAGCCGCGACAGAGGAGCCTCGAGAAGCGTTCCACCCCCTTTACATAACTCCCGTTGCACCGTTCCTCCGGTGCACCGTTTCCCGGCGCGGATGCGCTCGACCGATCGAAAGAGGGAAGCGTATCGGATCCGGAGAAGCGTATTAAGCCCTGTCTGTGTCTGCGGACGGATCCAAGAGTCGCGCACACTGCGCGAGAAAGAGCGAGATCGAGAGCGAGTGAGAGAGAGAGAGAGAGAGAGAGAGAAAGAGAGAAAGAGAAACTCCCTACAGACATCCAAGCCCACCCACAAACACCGCTAACCGAGCCGGATGGTGGGGATCGGCGTCGATCCAAGCAGAAGAGAGAGAAAATCGTCGCGAGAGGATCGTGTCTTCGGCGTGGTGGGGGTGACGATAGAGAGGAGAGTAGTCCCCGGAGAGAACCGGCACGGACGGCGGCAGACGTAGCCGGGCGGCAGGTGGAGAAAAAAAGAGAGGAGCGATCCGGACGAAGACAGTCTCGTGTCGGGAGAATAGTGGGGGAGTATTAGTCCCACGGCGCGAGGAGGAGAGCGCTACGTTACGGGGGCGGAGAGAGCGAGACGCTGAAAGGAGAGGGTTCCCGAGCGGCGACGACGGAGCTGGAACCCGGTCCGTAGAGGGAGGAGAAGGAGGAGGAGGAGGAGGAGAGGAAAACGAGGAGAGAAAGAAGGGTGGGGATGACCGCAACACGGAGATCGGACGAGGATGGACATACGGGACCGTTCGTAGAGCAAATAGAGAGGCGAGCAGGGTCCGGAGGAGCGACGGATCGAGATAGAGGGGCGTACGCGCGGTACCGTGGATCCCGGGGGTGGGGGTAAGAGACCCTGGGGCAGAGAGAGAGAGAAAGTGGGGGAGCGAGTGATCCGCTGTTCTGGTAGGGTGAAGAATCGCGGTGGGGAGACAAGGGATACCCGGTGAAAGAGAGCAGGTAAGAGTGGGAGGGATGATGATGAGCTCAGACCGTACGCCAGGGAGAAATTGTCAGTAGAGTCGTGTCACTTCTCAGTGGTTAGTCGACTTGGCTTGATCTGTTCTCGTGGACCTTGCTTCTCGCCCACTCCAGAACTTGTTCTCTCGTGGTCGTGTGCTCCCCCTCTCCTCTCGGTCCTCCGGAGGGAGACCGTTCGCTGGTCGCGGCCAGTTCTCCCAGTCCGACCAGCGAGTCCTTTACTCGTCCGTCGTCCTTCGACCGCGTCGCATCGTTGGTTCTTCGCACAGTGGTGATTATCCCTGGTATAGCAATCGGTGGTGTCTCGTGTCCTAGTCTATACGCCTGGATAACGGATCCTTGGCTAGCAGCACGATCGGTCAACGGTCCAGGATTGGATCGTCATCCGGGAATCTTCGTCGAGCTCGCTTCGACAAGAGGGTGCCCACCGTCTCATTATTCGAGAAGCTGCCGTCCGTCCTCGCATCCCTGAGGGGGTGTCCGGGTGACGTCGCCGAACCGGATCGACCGTTGGCTTCAAGGACTTCAGGACTCGGTGCGGATTTGTTCAAAGATCTCTGTCGAGGCACGGTGGAACGTGTGCAGCCCCCCATGGGGGGGTCGTGTTAAGTGTAACGTCCCTGGTTTGTTCGAATGTTAAGTGTGACCGGGACCGACCTTGGGACCAGATAAGTGCTTCGCAACGCTGTGGATGGCCTACATGGATTACTCGACGAAAGGTAGGTGCGTATCGATTTAGACTTATTAGGGAGGGCATGCAATAGCGATAGGACTCGGGATAACACGCGTTCCGGGATCCTCGGGATCCAGAGCCGCGAAATGCTAGATCCTAGGGGGATATACCGGCCCCGCCTGTGATCGATGTTGCTCGGACGGTTCCGTTAGCAGACTACGCGGACTTTGTGGGTCAGCTTTTAGCGGCGTCGCGAATTTTTCTCGGATCGTCGTTAGGAGATTTCAACGGAGATCTGTCGGGTATTCTAGGGGTCAGAGGCGATGATCTCGTTGATGGATATTCATGCGGATGTTTGGTACCGTTAGATCGACGAATTTCTTCGATAAAGCGCCGATTTCAACGTTTTTCGATTAGGAGAAATATTCTAGTTATCTAAAATAACATTTTTAAGAAGATCTAAGAAACGAAAAGCACGGTGACTTAGATCTTTTAAGGATTCAGACGATGATTTTGTTATTTCTGCGTTTCGATTTACTAATGCGGATGTTTACTAATGTTGTATCGTTGATCATTGATATAACATCAATAACAGATATAACCCCGATTTCGTTATACATCAATTAGAAGAAATATTCCAACGATAACATTTTTAAGAGAGCAATCTATGAAATACAGTATCCACCAAAAATCTCAATGATGCAGCTAAAGTTAAAAAGTTGCTCGAACAGCGAGAACTAAATTAAAAGATGGAAAGTGTCACCCATACGCGAACGACGTGGCAGCAGGCGTACTAAAGGCCCGCAGTCCACTCATTACGTGTATAATTACATTCTAATGAACGTTGCAATGGACAAACACGTTCTCGTGACCACGAGCCTCCCGTTGACGTCTCCGGCCGGACGTGAAAGATGCCCGTTATCGCGCGAAAACGTAGATCGTCTGGGTCGTTACATTTTCCTAATGGATCGCGATAGCGGCGAGATGATCTATCAGGAGGATCGACGGCTAAACAGTGGAACAGAGGTCTTAATTAGAAAGGAGTCGCGTTATCGTCAGATAAGTCGCCGGAGATTGTATTGCAGCTGTTTCGAGATGATCTGCCGGCGAGATCGTAGATCGCGAACGAAAACAAATCGTCGTCACGATCTAGGCACGAGAAACAATGTTGCGCGTTTCTCTCTCTCTCTCTCTGTTTTTCTCCCACTCTCGTCGGTGCGGGTGGAAACTTCACGTGAGAAAACCGTTTTCGGCTCCTCTTTGTCGGTTTATTTGTCACCGGACTGAGGAAAATATCTCAGGGATCGATCGCTTTGTGATTCACGCGCGAAATATCGGGTCCCTCGAGCCGACTTCCAGTTAAAAGGTGTTTTTATCTCCCGTGTCTGTTAAAACGTCAGCAGATTTTTGACACGCTCGATTGTTCGTGGTAAAGTGGAGTCGTGGACACGCGCCGATGTTATCTTCTTAGAATCGTTTTCCGAAAATCTTAACGCGGACGTTTTCTTTGATGTTAAACGTTCCACGTTTTTCATTCGAAGATCACCGAAGTTGCGAAGCAAATTCAGAGTTCCAATTCTTATAACGCGACACACGCAAATTGAAATTAATTTAACCGTTTCGGTCCAAAGCAACGCGATCGCGCTGTTTAAATTTTGCTTCGAAAAATCCCGAGACATTTGTACGCTATGGTAGCGCGCTTAATTATACTGACTCTCGCGTACATCGCACAGATGTTTTTTTAAATGTAAATGATACAACTGGCACATTTTGTATTTTTGTATTTCATTGTTATCTTCTCAAATAATTTTTATTGCGCGAAATTTGAAATATTTATAAACTAATGGTACGCGTATTAAGACGAACGTTATCGCGCTGTTCGGCATTTTTCGACCGCGTTTTTTCAATGACCCCTGCGACTGAAACGGTTATTGACACTAATCGTGTCGGTCGGATCGACCGGATTCATATTTTCTTTTATTTCAAAATTACCGGCGTTGTAGAGAAATTGTCCCGGTAACAAAACTGGCGAAAAACTGGAGATAAAAGAAAAATGAATCTGTATCGTTGCTCTCGCGAGGCGTCGTTACGTCAGTGATTTCTAGTGCTAAAGTGAAATAGCGCTCTGTCGTTTTCTGATTAACATTCAAGCACCAAAGTCACGGAACCAGAGTCAGCAGAAAAATTCCTCGTCTCTTAAGAAAACACTGCAAACGGACAAAGTCTAACGATTGTGATCTCTTGTTTAGTAAACAACGACCTCGGCAAACTCTCCGAAAGAACATCGCGCACGATCTTTTTCTTTAGCGACGAACATCATAAATAGATCACAATCGACGCAGCTCCGAAAGAGGTCGCGCAAAAAATTCGGCGACGTTTTCGGTCAACAATAATTTGTCAAAACCTGCAGAATCCTGTTCGGAGACAGATTCTACAGATCGCGAAACTATTCTCCGAGCTGTACTTTGATCCTTGAATCAGCGCAGAGAGCGTCGAACGCGACGATGTAGATGATTATCTCGGGAAATATCTGAAGTTCGTGGTATCAACAGCGCGAGAGAAACGTCGCGACGATTCGCAGATAGGATCCCCCGGTGTCCTCGATCCCGCGGCTCTCGATCCTCGAAACCGTGTTTCGGTTTATTTTCGCGTCGATGCCGAGTCAAGGAGACCGCCGAGTCTGTTGGGATCAGTCGAACGCCGCGAAAACGAGGGAGAAAAAAACGTCGGAGCCGGCGTATCGTATACCCGGTGTCTGATTTTCTTAACGAGGCGCGGCATTGTTCCGGGATCGAGCTAACCGCGGCGTTAACGTCGGCCCCATCACCCATCAGGAGCCTGGGAAACGTTTCCGCGGCCGATCGCAACAGGAAACGACCGAATTTAGCTGGCTAACGAGTCGAACGCGCAACGGATGATCGTTATCTATCGACAGCTCGGCCCTCTTATCTCGCGGCTTTTCGATTAACGCACGAAATGTCGATCGGTATCTGCCGATCCCGGGTCCCACCATTAATTCCGCGATGGATTTTCTTCGTTTTCTGTGTCAATGTTGCCGACCGGCTCAACAGAGGATCGATCAACATCCCCGCGGACTTCGATCACGGTATCGCGAACACTCGATCGCGTTTAGATGGCGGCAGGCTGTTTCAATCGATTCGTCGAAAGAGGTTCGCTGTATTATGAGATTAACGCGTTAATCAAATGAACGCGTAATCTGATTAATTCAATTAACACTAAATGTTTCATACTTTTTCTAAGTTTCGTATTCTGGATTTTGAGATTGCTCGCGTTGTAGAAATGTTTTCGTTGAAAATACTTCAATTGATTCCTGAAGTCATGCGTACCCTTTAATAGAGTTGGCAAAATTAGATAAAATTGCCAAGACTGAATAAAAACATCAAGACTGAATAAAATCGACAAGACTGAATAAAATCGACAAGACTGAATAAAATCGACAAGACTGAATAAAATCGACAAGACTGAATAAAATCGACAAGACTGAATAAAATCGACAAGACTGAATAAAATCGACAAGACTGAATAAAATCGACAAGACTGAATAAAATCGACAAGACTGAATAAAATCGACAAGACTGAATAAAATCGACAAGACTGAATAAAATCGACAAGACTGAATAAAATCGACAAGACTGAATAAAATCGACAAGACTGAATAAAATCGACAAGACTGAATAAAATCGACAAGACTGAATAAAATCGACAAGACTGAATAAAATCGACAAGACTGAATAAAATCGACAAGACTGAATAAAATCGACAAGACTGAATAAAATCGACAAGACTGAATAAAATCGACAAGACTGAATAAAATCGACAAGACTGAATAAAATCGACAAGACTGAATAAAATCGACAAGACTGAATAAAATCGACAAGACTGAATAAAATCGACAAGACTGAATAAAATCGACAAGACTGAATAAAATCGACAAGACTGAATAAAATCGACAAAACTGAATAAAATTCTGTATTGTTACCCTTGCGCAGCGTTATTATGTCAGTCAATTATAGTACCGGGGAGGTTTAATGTTACTAAAACTGAAAACAAAGGGTAACAATTTATCATAGTAAATGACGTGTTAACACTTTTGTAAACACTTATGCAAATTCACATTTCTATGTGTCGTTTCACAAAAATTCTAATTGAAAGAATTCCTTTGTCAACTGAAAGATAACACGCGTTAAAAAGAAATTAGAATGCTATTGGAACTAAGAAAATTGCCTTAACATTGTTGTTTGGAAAACATCATCGAGATTGTCGCTTAAAAAGCAGGAATTTAAATACTCCAGATAGAATGAAAAGTTTTATAGATAGAATATAGAATAAAATTTTGTATCCAAATAAAATAAAACATTTATTAGTTAAACTTGATTCGTATAAAATTCTAGAAAATTTATCTAGAAGTATTATACAAATCTGTTGGTTCACTAACCTCTAATAACGATTAGTTCCCCAGTCATTATTGTAGCACATAAATTGTGCTCCGCTTTATTGGACAAGTTTCACCAACTCTTCCTCATCTCTAGACATTTTCGTAGACATTAGGTCATGCGATCGTCCATATTTAACGAAGAACGAACTTTACGGACAATGACGAAGATAAACGACTAAATGAATCACAGACTAGCATTTCTTATTCAATAAAATACAAACTCGTGAAATTCTTGGACGTATGTAATACTTAACCGCACAAATTGCACGGTAAATCTATTAGAGGATCTTTTGTAGAAAATCTTCGACTTTTGACCAAAACTGTGCGAATACAAAGCTGCGATAACTTAGACATTTCGTGAAGGACGAATATAAATATAATAGAACGACATACAAGACAAAAATAGTTAGGGTATCTACGAGGAAATATGGACGAATAAAAAATTATAATTATATTTAAAAATGTAACTATATGTACAAATGTAATTGTATTTATAAATATAACTATATTTAAAAATACAGCTATATTTTAAGATACAATTATATCTAAAAATACAACTATATTTAAAGACATAATTACATTTAAAAATA